AACTATAGTAAACTAATGGATATGGCACAGGATAACGCGCAGATTGAAAGAAAAGCATACAAGCCCAAGCAACCTCAAAAGCTGAATGTGATGTCATCACAGAAATACCGTCCAAGATGGCATTACATACAACAGGGCGGTGAAGTAGGTCAGTCATCTAGTAGAGTGCCAAGTGAATTTCCATCGAGGAACGAAGTCGAACCATCTGTACAACAATATGATACAAATCAAACTGAAAGCGCATCAGAAGAATATTTTGCAGTGCCAGAAAACCAAGAATTATCTACCGAATTCCATGAAGACGAATTTAGTCCTGCGTATGGCAATGAATCATATAATAACCAAAGTCAAATAAATGGAAGTCAACATTTTGATCAGATTGAGTATGAAGACTATGAATATGGGGATGATTTTGAAAATATTGAGGATCACGAGTATTATGACGAACATGGCAATCCTATTTCAGAATATTTTAGTAATGTGATTGATCCTTATACTGGGCAAACTTCATACATTTCAAGAGCACCAAGCAGGGTATCGGAATATCGAGAAACTACACCAATAGATCCGAATTGTATTTGTAGTAAGTGCGAGGCGGAAAACACAATATGGGATTATATCACTGCTGTCTTAATACCTCGGCACGAATATATACTAGCAATGTTATTAATAGCAATTACTGCGGTGGCGATATTTTTACTTTACTACATACATCAATTCACAACATATTTTTGGAAATCATCTTGTCGTAAACATAAATATCTGTTTTAAAAGTAAATCATTACGCTTTGTGTATCGACAATAAATAAAAATAAATTATGTATCAATCTATAAAAATTATTTGTCAATCATTACCACGTTAAAAACTTGTGAAGAACAAGTGCAATAACTAAAGAAAAGGTCAAATTTTCTTGCACTTATTAAATACTAAAAGCACGTTTTTTCTAACATTTCTCAGTTATCAATTTTGTGCATTTTGGCAAACGCAGTTTTCTCTAAATGCATTCTATTGGAAAATTGTTGTATATTTTTTCATATAAAATTCGAGATCAATTTATCAATCATCAACTAAATCAACAACGAGTTTTAGTAAAAAGTCGACCTAAATATCAAAACACCATTTAAAACATTGCCTATGATATCTTAATTACAAGTGAGAATTATAAATGAAAATTAGTTAAAAAATATTAATTGTCCATAAGATATGGTACATTTTGTTGAATAAGATCATTTTGAAACTCATTAATTATATGAGCAAAGTACATAAAAGAATTCTCCATTATATGGATTATTAACCCGAATGTGAAGTTTATGCCTTTAAATAATAAATCAGATTTGGTAAATTAATATTTTCTCAATGTTTCAAGTCATTCTGAACCGTTTGACACCAAAATTAAAAAACTATATGTGTGCGTTAATGTGACTCGCACTTTCACCTTTTCTTGGTCAAGTTTTTTCAAAAACAGCTGCACCGATTTCAAAAATTTAAAAATCATTTGATAAAACTGGATAAGGGAGAATAATCAGAGGAATGATTAGCTTTTATTAAAGATGGGCTGAACCATTCTTCAAAAGATCAAGAACATCATAGAATATTAAAGGCCAATGATTGAATTACAAAAAAATATCAAAGTTTGGAATGATGTTTATAAAATGCACTATACAACTAATTTTTCTTAGTTTGAAACTATTAAGGTAATTTTAATGATAAAAGACTTGTTAATAAGTTTGAAAATGGAAGGACTAAGATTTTAAAATCTAAAAGTATTGAAAAGATTTCAAACTTGAAAAGTTTTTGAGAAAACTTGTACGAAATGTTAAATTTTAGGTCACATCTGCAAACACACATATTACCCCGAATTTTGATCTCAAAAGATTCGGACTAAGTTGAAACATCGAGAAAACATAAAATGAGCAAATTGGATTTTCTAGCAAAAATAAACTTCTTGGGAATGTTAATGAAAAAAGTTGCCTTGCCTTTCCTTTACTATCTGCTAATGTAATTCAATGATGAAATGTAAATAAAGATGGGATGAACCCTTCTTCAAAATTAGTTGTTGAAAAAAAATTTTTTTGATGATTTTATGAAACTTTGCACAGTGATAAAGATCATGGTCTTGAAGATCATTAACATCATAGAATATTACAGGTCAATGAACTGATTCAATTATAAAAAATATTATATTAGGTTGTCAAATATCTCCCTTCCGCTTTTTTGCTCTGGTTTATAATACAAAAAGGCGGAAGGGAGATATTTGACAACCTTATATTAGACATTTATTACGCACTATGGGAAGTTCATGAAATTCGCCTTAAGGAAAAATACCACTTACACCTAGTTTTAATTATTCATCAGTTGGATACACTTTTTACGACAAAAGTTATAGTTCGACATATACTATAGCAAACAGCTTTCCATTACTTCATCATCCATAAAATATACAAACACATGTTACTAGTAAAATTTAAAATTGTTTCAAAATTATTTTATGAACTGATAACAAAATACTTCGCGACGCGTAATTAAGTGCTTGACAAGCAATTACATGTAAATAATAATGCTCAATCAATAAATTCCACAATTCTAAAATTTTACCTAATGGATTACACATTCCACGTTAACTACCTAGTGTTTGTTTCTTCATTTTTGAAGGTAATATTTATCGCAAAAACTATGCAATTTCAGATAAAATCTAATAAAAATGTCAATAGTTCATTGCATGTTAGGTTCTTCCCAGTTATCATCTAGATTACATTCAACATCTAAAAATAAAATAATGCATTAGTAAGCAAATTAACAAATCAAATAGAGGACTAATAAAAAACTAGTCCTAAGTGATATTCTGCTTTGGAAAGTTGCATGGACTTTTAGATAATATACATAATCTAAAATAAATGAGAGTTAACCACTTTTAAAATCGTACAGGTAAAATAGTCAAAATTCGAAAATAAGGTTTACTATTTCAAACTTTTCATGTAAAACTTGACTATCATGTCAAAACGAAAATTTCACAATTGATTACGACAAATAGACCAAGCCAATCTTTAACCAAAACCTAATCAGCACAATTCCTTACTAACATTTTTCAACCAATTTTTGAAAATTCCAAATCGGTTGGTTCAAGATTTTTGGCAGAAACGTTGACAAAAGATTTTGTAATTGTCTGCTTATTATAAAAAAACGGTTCGGCGTATCGTTACACAAAATGAATCGAGTAGGCCTTATCCAGTTTCATCAATTGCTTTAAAATTTTTACAATCGGTGCAGCCGTTCTTGAGAAAATGACATCGAATAGTCAACGATGACCATAAATTTGGTCAAACTTTGGTCTCTAATGATTCATAATGTTTTGAAACGTCGACAATAAAAATTAAATTAAAAAAGATTTGGGAAAATAAAAACAAGAAAAGTTATAAAATTTAGTTTAATTGATTTGTATACAAAAATATAAAAACGATCACTGCTTTCTCCAACATGATATTTTTAATCATGTTTCTTAAAAAGTTTGTAATTCGAATATGTTAACTCCAAACAAAACAATGTATTTCTTTTTATTAAACTAATTGAATTTGGTGGGAAAATGAAATTTATTTTTACTTCTGAAATAATTATATTTATATTCAGTAAAATTTCTTCAAATAAAAGTGAATCATGAATCATATTAGTTAGTAATTTCTTTGTCTCATACATATGTTATTAAGTTTTGATGAATTTACATTAGAATCGTTCGGTGGATTTGACTTGACAAATTTCTTTTTAGTTCTTAAAATCACTTAATTTTGCAATTCGAACACATATTTAAAATATTGCTTTTTCTCTAAAATAAATGGCAATAATCGTTTCTTTGGGAAGCACGTTACTTACCGGGAACTTTTCTTTTGTCAATCTAACTGTAAATTCATAATCCAGAGTAATTATTGCTATGACGTAATGTGCAGACAATAATTTCAAATAGAGAGACCATGTACTTGAGTAAGCAAAAAAAATACTTATTTTTGTAGAGTTTTGTTTTCACCTAGATAATCATAAAAAACTAGCGGTGTATGGCAATCCTACTTTAGAAATTAATCCAAAAAATTAAGATTTATTTCTAAATTCTAATTACAATGACAAACCGATCATGTCATATTTGAAGTATAATTTTAATTATATTATTGATTTAAATATTATACATATATTTAATGCTATTAAAAATAATATAATTTATAATTTAACATTATATAAATGTGTATAATGGTTGACACTAATAAATTTGTGCATCACGAGTCTTACCATATAACTAATAAACATTATTCAAAATTGTTATATGATGTATTTATTTTACTTAAATGCCATCTTGTACAGTAGCAAAGAAGTTTTACTTCAATCGCGATTTGTGTTTATAAAATGCACTACACGACTAATTTTCTTAGTTTGAAAATATTAAGGTAATTTTAATGATAAAAGAACTTGTTAATAAGTTGAAAGTGGAAGGCCTATGATTCTAAAATCTAAAAGTATTGAAATTTTCAAACTTGAAAAGTTTTGTAAAAACGTCGCAGAGATGGTTAAATTTTGGGTCACATCCACACACACATACTTCTCCAATTTTGGTATTAGAAGATTTAAACAATTAATGCCACCCAAATAGCTCATAGAATATAACTCTGATCGTTATTAAGAAAAGAAATAAACAATCTTTAAAAAAAAGATTCAGGCTAAGTTGAAACATCGAAAAAACATAAAATCAGCAAATTGGTCTTTCTAGCAAAAAACAAACGTCTCCTTTGGAATGTTATAAAAAAAGTTTTCTTGACTTTCCTTATAATATATAGATAGATGGTTCAAAAATTGAAAAAATAAGTCCCTTAGCCCCTCATCTATTATCTGTTAGAGTAATTTTGAAGCACACAACAATTTTAATCAATGATTCAAATTCCACGTCCATTATAATACATATATAACACATTTGGTAATGAAAAATACCAGTAACACGGCTGTAGCCATGCAGAAAAGACGAACGATCTGTTTATCAAAATTAAAACTAAATTAAACGTAAACAAAATAATCAAAATCAATTAATTGTAAAAATTGATTAATTGTTAAAGATAATATGGCTGCGATTAGGACATTTTTGTCAATGGCATCGATAGTGGGAATAACAAGTGAGTAGATTTGATGTCAGTAGTAATTGATTATGTTCACAAAAGGTACTTCAAAACTATGATAGTCAAAGTCAACTATAGGGTGGTCCTTAATATGGACATTATCGTATTTCCTTGCTCCCAAGGGCTCAAATGGTTCCAAACTGATAAAAAACAATTCTCTGAAAGTTTTAGCTCTTAATATTAACTTTTAGATAGTGCGCAATTCAATCAAACTTCGTATGGAAATAGCATGGAAAAAATTTTGAAAATTAAAAAAAAAAAATTTAGTTATAACTTAGCGACAAATGAATTAAAAGTAAAAAATGCGTGTCATTTTTTATTGAAAATTCGACGCTCTGCAAAATTTTGAAATTTTTTTGAAAAATGCTATTTCCATACAAAAACTTTGATTGAATTGCGCTCTATCTAAAAGACAATATTAAGAGCTAAAACTTTCAGAGAATTGTTTTTTATCAATTCGGAAACCATTTGAGCCCTTGGGAGCAAGGAAATTCAAAAATGTCCATATTAAGGATCACCCTAAATATATAACAATTATCAAAATATTTTTAAACTATATTATTTGCACTAACTTTTTGATATATCTAAATATGTTTACAGACGTTGTCGACGTAGTAACATCAGTTTCAAATTAAAAAAATAATAATAATTTGTCGGACCATATTTTTTGTAAAATGCATTAAAAAGTGA